TTCCGATGTTGGGCTTGTAGTTTACCGCTGATTCGGGAGCATACACAACACGCTACTGCAGATATATTTGGGCCAAAAGTTGTATCGAGCCTCAACCACTAATGCGGAGCAAAACAGCAGTACCACGCAATACAGCAGTACCACACAAGAGTCTACACACCTGTCCCACACTTTGTTGTACGTCTTCTTCATTTCGCGCATGACCTTGTCGAAGCGCTTCCACAACTTCTTCCCGTCGGTGAACAGGACCGGCGCTGCAGGGCAAGTCAAACAACAGTGGAACAGCAGTAGCACTTCACTGTCAGCAGCAGTACAGGACTTTCCATCCCCTACAGCACTAAAGCAGACATGACATGAGCACGTTAACCGAACCGTTTGTTTCCTGATGCAACATGAGACTTTTTGTGTCGGTAACATTTCCTGGTTACACCGACTTTGCAGGAGGATGCACATCGCTGTCATGTCGTCATTTTATAACCGATTGCTGCCCAAAGCCGGGCGTGCTTTATCACCCCAGACTATGTCACCAAACTACACGCTACACACAGCCTAGTTACTTCTGGTGGAGGGCTTTGTGGGTGCTGCCTACTTGATGGATCACGACTCTGTCAAGGCAGCGCACCGTGATGGCCTGTCTGCCCTGTCAACACACGTGACAACTTTGAAAATATGTATTTGCGCTGAGCGGACCAAACACAAACACCCTGCATCCGGCGTTACGCATATCGTGTTGAACAGCAGACCATAGCGGCGCAGAGGGTCGGATACGCATTCGAAACCTGCCTCTCTCTGTCGCGGCGGTCGGTTGTGTCTCACGGTGTGTCGCGAAGCGTTTGTTTTCTTACCTCCGTTCAGACTTGTTCTGCCCATGACCTCGAACGTCAGCCACGCCTGCTTGATCACTATGCCGTTTTCCTTGAGCCACTTGAAGAATCCTGGGACAGCGATGTCCTTGTAGCCCTTGGCCGCTGCCTTGTACTTAGCCTCCGTGGAGACGATCCCGGCGTTCCGCTTGACCGCCAAGCAAGCGTACACGATGCACACGTTCTGGAGGTGCTTGAGAAGCTTGATCTGCGAGAGGCCCTTGCCGCCCAGGAGCAACTCCAACGTGCCCTCGACATACCCGTTGAACTCCAGCGGGAGAGGTTGAACGTTGTCTAGTTTCATGACATCCATGGTATGCGGTGGCTCGTGGTGTGTGTGCGGTGTGGATACGCGTGGTGTGCTGATGTAGCTTGTGCGCTTGTGCGAGAGAGAAGCGGCGCGAACTGCAAGAATTCAAAAATCGTTCGCGCGCGCTGGCGCGCGCACGCAAACGCCTCCGAGAATAATCGAACACCTCGTTTTTGGAAAAAGACAGCGTAACAAGTGGGTTGTCGTTTTTCCATATCTTTTTTTGGGCTGTCCCTTTTTGAGAAAAGGGACAGCCCAAAAAGAGACAGCGTAAAAATAACAAGTGGCCTTTTTTTTTTTTTTAGTCTATTTTTTTTCTTGTTCGTTTCTGGCGAAGAAAACAACAACACACCAAGCCCGACATCATGAGCATTGAACCGACAGCTTAGTGTGGCCAATGTTGGGGGTTGTGACATTACAGCATTAGTCTAAAGCAGCAAAGAACAAGTGGGTAACGCAGCTCGCGGCTGCGCTGGGGCGCGCGCCTAGAAAAAAACTCTCAGTCCCCCTCAATCCCACCTTACAAAAAAATTACCATGATAACTGCTACTAGACTACTATGTATGATACAATGAGCTAGAGAGGGGGTGGGAAGATGGTAGAAGCAGCACCAGTGGGACGTTTCTTATTGGACACGCTCGTACCCGAGATCGAGCTCTGCTGCTGCTGCTGCTGCTGCTGCTGCTGCTGCTGCTGTGCTGTGCTTAGTCTAAGTCATTTTTTCTTATTTTTCGTAAACATCAATGAATGAGCAGAGTTTTTCTTAACGGCCCGTTCTGTAAACCCTACAACATGTAGTCACGTAGTCACACGTACACACTACTGTTGTAAAGGCTATTAGAATGTATGTATGCGCTGCCAGTGAGCACGTTGTTCTATCTTGGTATCATCAGTGGTATCTGTCTGTTCACAAACAGGCGTCGCAAATTACTCACGCAGGCTGAAAAAGGCGTGCATGTGGGGACCGATTGGTTGGTCGCAGACCAGAACGAAAGAACAACAGTTGCTGTTGCACGGGCAAATTTGAATGTACTGGGACAGAGTTTAAGGAGGTTAGTTACGCGGGCAATCCCGCCAATACACGGTGAAACCCATTCATCTGCGGGCCACATGCTTTCAACATGTTGCACCTTACTTACTCAATGAATCAATGAAGGAAAGGAGACACCAGAGCAGAGGTGCCGTCACCGGGGGGCCAAATAAATCACCGTGCACACATTCTGCCATGCGGGTTGTCAACATACCGACGCGCCGGGATGGATGATTGATGGCGATTATTTTGGGTGGGGTGTTCACTCCAAAGAACCCACCGATAGTGGTGTAAGATAAGTTACACCATTAGACTAGTCAGCAAGCACCGGCTGGATCACTTTTCGTTACAAAAGTGCACCTAGAACTATCAGCGTCTGGCGAGGGGTCCGGCCCCAGAGATCCCTGCTCTCAATAAGCCAAAGACCCAAGTGATCCTGCCGGGTGCTAATGAGCTGAGCGTATGTCATTTGTAAGATAAAGTTACACCATAAGCCTTCTCAGCGCTGACTAGTCTAATGGTGTAACTTGATCTTACAGATGGAGTCAAGAGAAAAGCGCAAAAAAACAACGCGGAGGAGGAGCCAGAGTATCATCAACCGGTTACTGACGTGTTCTGGCGAGAGAGAGCAGATGATATAAAAGCTTACATGGATCCGTGGGCGTGGGTACTACCGCTGTGCTGCTGTAGCTCGACATGAATATTCGCGTGCGTGTGTGTGCGTGCGTACGTGTTTGTGCGATCGTTTTTTAATTCTTCTGGCGGGTGCTCCTGCGTGCTGGTCATCGACACTCAGTTTGGATTGACATTGCGAAACTTCGTGCACACAGAGACGACGCAAGTTTTGAACATGTACAGGGACATAATTTTTGGAGTTTGATTACACGGGCGAAACCCGCCAGTACACGGTGAAATCCATTCATCTGCGGGGTTCCACGTAGCAAGTCAAGAAAAATAATCCCTCCGTAGACCTAGACTAATCATTACAAAGCGATTGAAGAGTTCCTCGGTTGGCAAAAATTCGTTGAGTCGGTACTTTTCTCTCTATCTGACGTTGGCCGAGTGGTTAGGTGTGTAAGAAAAAGGGCTCTGGCTCGTTTGACTCGCCTCGACCCTCTGTTGTCAAGGCCGACCACCATCTGACAGCACTTAACATGAAACATGATACGATGTCGGCTTGTTGTGCACATTCAGTCGGTCCAATAGGGGACGCGCTTTTCCCTGAAGTTCTTGTAAGCTTCTCAAAAACATAGCCCGGTGCACCGACAATAAATTATTAGTGTTGTTGTTGTCCTCACATTAAGAACCGTTTCGATCTCTCTCTACCCAGTCCCTTCGTATGTCCGTACTGATCCAACACTCGACGCGGTCGATTCCCGTGGTCACATGTTAACATACCCTAAAAAGGTACACTCAAAAAAACTGCCCCCGAAGGATCCGCAAGTTAATAGAAATGAACGACAGATATTCTGGAGTCCTCCACTCCCTCTGCGCGCTATGCGAGGTAACAACTGAGACTAGGAGTCACCATCACGGGCCGGAGAGAAGGAGGTACACCCCCTTGGTTCAATCATGGTGCGTCACAACGCAAGCAGAGACAAGGCTATCTGGCATAGCAAAAGAGAGAAAAAAAGAGAGACAAGGAGAAAGCAGAGAAAAAGAGAAAAAATAAAAGGAAACAGTAAAGAAAGAGAAAATGGAAGAGCGAAGACAAAAAGGGACCAGGTCGAAAATGACAAGAAAAAAGAGACAGAAAAAGGCACAGGGTGGAGAGACCACTAACAAACAAGCAAACACGCAAACATGACCACCAACCAGCGATACATTGTAATGGTATGTCATCCCTAGTGAGGGGTTGGTGCAATGGTGCAGCGTTGGGGGGGGGGGTAATTGGCCANGTAACAACTGAGACTAGGAGTCACCATCACGGGCCGGAGAGAAGGAGGTACACCCCCTTGGTTCAATCATGGTGCGTCACAACGCAAGCAGAGACAAGGCTATCTGGCATAGCAAAAGAGAGAAAAAAAGAGAGACAAGGAGAAAGCAGAGAAAAAGAGAAAAAATAAAAGGAAACAGTAAAGAAAGAGAAAATGGAAGAGCGAAGACAAAAAGGGACCAGGTCGAAAATGACAAGAAAAAAGAGACAGAAAAAGGCACAGGGTGGAGAGACCACTAACAAACAAGCAAACACGCAAACATGACCACCAACCAGCGATACATTGTAATGGTATGTCATCCCTAGTGAGGGGTTGGTGCAATGGTGCAGCGTTGGGGGGGGGGGTAATTGGCCAAAATAATTTCAATCCGGCACGTATCGCGCCACTCGGCCCGTCTCTTCTCGCTTGCTCTCTTCCCTCGCCGTCTCTACCGTCCTCTGCCCCCCTCCCGCCCCACTGGTTGTTGGCTTGTGGTTTCGTTTGAGCGCCCGTTGTCGGCTGTCCTCTGCTTCCTTCTTGTGCCAGGAGGTCATGAACCTCTCAGCTCCCTGCAGCACCGCCGCATGCCAGGGTACTCCCTCCTCCATCTTCGCGGCTTCCGTCCACTTTAACTTCGGTGCCGTGCCTTTCGGTACCGGGATTCCGAGACAACATGGATCGGTTTTCGTAGATCCGTGGTCGGCCCCGAATGCCTTCAGGTCGTCGAGCACACACTTCGGCCAGTTCTGTTCCTGTCCCCCCTTACGTCGCTTCTCCCCCCCCCGCCAGCTCGCCGAGCATCAGTCGTTTCGGGAGTCGCCCGTCCGGCTGCCTTGCCAATACTCCCGCGAACAGAAGGAGTCGTTGTCGGATCGTGGCTTCAACGCTCCGGCATTCGACCCTCTTCAGCGTCTGGGCGTAAGAGAGCTGCCGGTCGGTGTCTTTCTTGCGCTTTTACCCGATGAATCGGAGGAGCAGTCGGTGGTGTATCGACCGCAGCGTCTGATAGTGGCCGCTGAGTGATGACCATGTCATGCCGCCGTTCAGCAGTGCCTCCATCGCCTCCGCCTGGAGCAGGCGGA